CACGCAGGTTGCAGCTTCCTGAACTAAAAAAAGCCGCTGCTATGACACTTGCGTCGTCTTTGTGTGCTCCTTAGCTGTCACTCTTCCAGTGGTTTAGTGGGTTTAGGGGAAATAAGCGGCTCGCTTGGACACAAAACATTACTGTATAAATACCTTTTGCTTTTAAAGGTTTGAGTCGTTAATCAGGAGAAAACTGAAGCAGGGAGCCTCACCAACAATCACCGACCACTCAAGAATGTTTCTAAGTTGAAGTGTTTGGAGTTGGCCTTTAATTCTCAAGTGCATAGATCACATGACGAATCCAAGGCAAAGGTTCTCCATTGGAAGACTAGTGACAGGACAAACAAGAAAAACACGCCAAGAGTCGTTCCACATGTGATCCAGGGATTTGTTCCGATACGGATTCCAGCTGAAAGGTGGGAACTGCTATTCCCAGAGCCACAAAGACGATGATTCCATTGTCAAGAGGCCTTCTAAGCACCTGTCACGGCGCTCATGGATGTTACTATTGACTTTCATTCTAGGCTTGGACAGCATTCATAGCTTACATGCGCTAAAGAACTCTTTTACAGGGAAAAAAACTGGGATACACTGGGTACATCTGCACGAATCTGCATCTTCTTTGATATTGGATCATGGATGTGCCGCAGGTGACTACTAGTATCATTCGACGGGTTGCAAATCTTTCAAGAAGATTTGGCGATGATCTTCGGCTTTTGAATGAATCACATCAACCCTGCTGCCGCCCCGCCTGCCGTGAGAATGAATTCCACATGGTAACGCAGTCTCTGGCGCAGCGAGATCAGTTCTGTTGTGACGCGCCGGCAGCCCCTTTGTGGATAGGTTGTAGCTCACACACATCCTCATCAAACTAGGTCTTCAAATCCAAGTTGTCCTGGAAGGCATTTGCGGTTTGGGAAACCAGCTTGCCCTACCAGCTTTCCATTTTCGAGCCTTGCATTTTCTGTAATTGTTGGGCAGCCTTATGAGTCGATCGAATGTTTCCCATCAAAATCCGCAGGAAGAGAACTGGGAACGTATCCGGCTGCAAAACGCACATCTTCGCGCGACAGCACCTGGCAGTGTCAAGCAAACCGAATCTGATAGGCGTCAAGAAGATTCGCAATTGCATGGCAACAAGTCTCCCCATAGCACTTGGTTCAAATATAGTACATTTCAACATGTTACAAAAGGAAGCTCTTCCCAAGCGAGTTGAAGCTACATGACGAAGCTGATGCTGTCAAAAACACAAACAAAACTTCAGCCTGACACAATCCTCGCCTCTGTCTGTAGGTACGATATCAAACTCAACAGCACAGTATCACCGAGCTTGTCGGCTTCGAAGCTAGGCCTTAGCAGTGATATACTGCAAGCTGCTGATGTCTGCATCCTCCACGCACTACTTTGCCCACCTCTCCCAAGTGCTATCGGTTGAAACATGTTGAAACGGGATATTCTGAGATGTGCTGAAGGAAAGCCGCGCTGAAACATCATAAAGAGCAGCGTGGCATAGCGTAGCCTTATCTACTGCTCCCGGATGCAGTGAGATCTCAGGCATGCACACTATAATTGCGTTGCCCTTGTTAAAGTAGCAATTTTGATTTGTGTCCTGCGTAGTGGAAGGTGCAGGTTCACAAATGCTCCCGAACCAGTACTTTTTGGCAGTTTTGGTCTGCTTTGTGTTGGGCAAGGGGCAGCACACTGCAAAGCTTTGTGAATCTACTACATGCATTTACTCTCTGTTACCAATTGTTTGTCCATGTTCCTTTTCTGAACACCTGAACTAAGGATATCCTCGACGATGATGCTGCTGCAACGGTCAAAACCATAAGCGCGCCTGCATGGATGTTGCGCAAGTTGATTCAGCTGGGTTCATTGGAATATATTGGAATCCAATTGTGACTGCAGAATGCTCACAGATTTTGAGCTCTGCCATGTTCATGGCTCATCTAATTCAATCGGTGAGCTCCTGGTGTTGGATTTCCACAGCTTCCGCAGCTTTTTGCACACCCTTGGCGCGCAATAGCGTGCCTAGTGTACATTGTGCCATTGGGCCATGGTTACCCATTCTCAATCAAGCATCACCACTCAGAGAGTCATAGAGGGATACCAAAGTTGTGTTCTTAGCGTGGCCAAGGCACGATATTTCATTTCCATCCTTGTCCCGCATATGCTCACTGCAATGCTGCTGGGACCTGAATTTACATACATATTTGCGATGCTTACAGTATGGGAAGTGGGCTTTTGGCATGGCTTTCTTGATAATGCAAAACAAACAAGAAAATGTCTGTGGATGAAAGCTAGTCGATGCGAAGCCAAATCTTCAAGTGGATGATCAAAAAATATGTTGGCTCATTCTTTCCAATTCTTTCTCAGGGCATGTATAGGTGCCAGCAAGGAACCACAGAAAACACCAGTTGCGATCTGGTCCCAATACCTGGAGGCTGTTTCAGGCCCCGTGTTGCATAGTTCTTGTAATGTCTTGAGATTAATTCACTAATTTTAATTACATTATCTTGAGGGATAAATATGCATTGGAATTAATCATATAGCAGGATATATAACTATTTATATGTTACATGAATGTATATGACAATGTCTCTCTCTCTCTCTCTCTCTCTCCCTCCGTTGCGGTCCCAAGGGTTTACAGTAGTTATATCAGCGGATCAGGGCTGAGGGCGAGTCTCGCAGTCATCAGGTTGGCGCCTGGTTGACGATCAAAGAGCACCAATCTGCATCTGAAGTTGTCCACAGACCAACGCCAGTGAAACCTGATGGTGAGCAAATGAACATATCAATTATATAGATTCAATTGGCATCACTTAAAGCATCATGACTATAATGAATGACTCTAATGATTCCCTCAACTTGCTATTCTTCCAAGCCACGTTCAAAGCAGAAGTCCAAGAACTTGTCCAGGTGCGGGCGAGGAAAAATCGCGGTATGGCCCTGCAGATTCAGATAAATATATCTGGACAGGCAAGTCAGCAACGTGTTTCTCCCTTATAGGATCCTGGGGCTATTCTGAAACACAAGACATTCATATACATTCATAGTGCATTCATCGTGCAAACAAATCCCACCTCCACGATATGTGCTGGCTGATGTGGCACGGAATCACAGGGCCATGGCATTGAATCAATCAGCGTACCGTCGATGTCCAACACAATGCCTCGTGACTCAGCTGACATCAGCTGACCCCAGGGGGCCTGATCCCAATGATCCCGACAGGCGAAATGACTCAACGATTCTCTGATTTGCCCACCTTTGCCCTTGCATTTCTCAGGAACTGTCAGAAGTGGGGCTCGGCATCCCAGCACCTGGAAGTACAGGTTGTGATTTATGTTTGTTTTTTTGAAGCTTCCATGAGTGGTTGCCTTTTGGGCAAAAATTGCCACACCTACCGAGCAAACGAATGATTTGTAGCTGAGAAATGTTGAGAAATCAGGTACCAGCGGGTACCAGTAATCAGCACCTGCAGTGCCGCTTCCACCTGGCTGAGCTGCAACCCATGATAGGGGCTCGTTCGTATCATATTCCTCCTTGGAAACTGGCAACACTTCATGAAGCTTCAAAGTGAAGACATGTCTTGAAGGTGTGAGCATCAAAACATACGTGTCTCATTCAAATCGCATTTAATGAGACACCGGGCAAACATATCAAACATCAAGTTCAAGTAAGTTCAAGACATAGATCCACCAGGGTTGGAGTCAACATGCCAAGGTGAAATTGAGATCCCACAGGGCACAGTCATGATGCAAAATCTACAAATATCATCATGGAGGCTTCCTCAAATGGCGGTATCCATGGGTATCCCTAAATTGCCTAAGAATAATCCATTTTAAATCATTGTAAATCATTTTAATAGGTTTCTCATGGTTTGTCCATAATTCATCGAGAATCATCCGGCTATTGTGGTACCATGTGGATCCATGTGGTACCCCTCTGGACACCTCCATTTTTGAATCAAGCCAAGGGTCTTCAAGTGTTCCGGGCATTGGCTGGCCAAATCCAGATCATCCAATCTAAGATGCGCTACTGGGGCATCTAAGTGGGAAACGTCATCAGGCATACTCGGAATATCTCAGAATTACATTGATAATCATTGATTGCAAGTAGAACTGCCAAATCTAAGCAAATCTGATGATCATCAACTCAAGTGCATCTGGAAAGAACCACTTCTTTGGGAGACTTTTCTCATGTCAGGTCCAGGAGCACATTCTGGTACATATGACTTTATATCTGGCACTTGGATGCACTTGGTATTTGCGATTTTCGCAACATGGCCAAGAAGCGCGACCCATTGCTGCACGCCAAGCCTGACCGTCAAAAGCAGCTGTCATTTAAATGTCCTGGACTCGTCACGCAACAAGATCAAACAAACTATAATATATATATATGATTATATATACATATAATTGATTACGAAGAAATGAATCCATTCTGATTCTCAAAGAACACTGAAGAAAACCAAAGTATGAACAAAAACATTGCATGCATGCATGCATACACATGCAAGCACACAAACTGCGCCCCAGCAACTCACATCTTCTTGCCGTAAGCCAGTGGGAGATCTCTGCAACACGTCGCCCGGCTGCTGTGCGTGCAGCCGCTTTCATTTCTGCGGTTTGACCTCAGCAAAACAACTTGGGGATCTCCCATTGACATCCAAGAATTCACCCTACTTACGTGCGCCAAGTACTCAAGAAGCCGTGCAAGAAATGCTCTCTTCTTATGCCATCAATGCAAAGCTGCCCGCGTCACTCACGTGAAGGTCACTGCCGAGGAGCCCAGAAAACGCCATCGTGCGATGCCCGCATCGGCACATGAATCTTTCAGAGCCTCGGATGCAGAAGTGCACGAGGGCCCAAGAGAAATTGACGTATAAAATTCATAAAATATATACATTACATTGCATAAAAGTGTGAGTGCAGGCAGTGCAGGAACTGCTTGTTTATCATCATTATCCATATCAAAGTTGTAAAATTATAATGTGCTGCAGGAATTTGTAAAGTGTTGATGAATGTTGTAAGTTGATGTAAGTTGTAAGCGATCAACTGCACCTTTGACACCTCTGCTTTTGGCTGCGTCATACCTGTTCATATCTGTTCCACATTGCATCATGTGCACAGCCGAAGCCCGCCTACAGCTTTATCATGCTTTATCCATTGTTTGACGCTGTTAAACTGAGTGCACAATTTGGCCGGGTAATGCCGTTTTCATGCATGTTGCATCATGTTGCAACTAAAACAGTACAGGATGTTGAATCCACGTATTATATTCAGATATATTCAGATCTGTTCAGGCCCACTGCCACTTGCTATCGACAAGCGCGGTTCCCCAAACAAACACGTACACACACAGACACCTAATCCTCAACGTGCTCATGCACACATTCTCAACCCATCTCGGCTGTCCTCAACAGCTTCCCATTCGCGGCGCCAACTGGAAGAGATCACAATAAAAGCCTGCAAAAGAAGTGCTGGTGTGTTTCAACTTCTGCACATCGAAGAAGATGTTGGAGAGACATGGAGAGACCCTTTGAAACAAACATTAGGACGACATAATCGACATAGGAAGAACAGGTGTGGAATCGCATCAAGATGCATCAAGTCTTGGGGCTCTTGCTCTCTACGACTTGTACCTGTGGTGCCATTGGTTGGATTGCCAGCCAATGACTGCTCCTTGCCGGCCTGACCGATGTGCAGCAAGTCTCGGAGTCGCTGCAACAAATTCCTAGCAAATTGTGCACACCGAAACTGCAGAGACAGATCTGTCGGAAGCGAAGAAAGATGAAGAAAGTCCAAGTCCTTCAAAATCTTCAAAGTCCATCAACACATACAGGATGTGTATCAAAACTGTCGAAAAGGGTTTCGCCAGTTTCGCCAGCCTCTCCAACCACAAGCCACCGGTGCCCACTGGGATGTAGTCGGGCCCTCATGTGGAGTAACATTTCGCTCTGACAGCCATGCCAAATTGATATTATGAATAGTAGACCAAAATTGAACAGCTACACGGTGTTGCATTAGCAGATATTAGCAGTTCCAGGCAAAAGGTGGAGGGATGCTACCTGCAAAGTTTAAACAACATCACCGCCCTGGCCCAATATTAATAAATTGAAAAACACGCTCAAAGCAGTGAAACAAAGCATTCTAACACTTTCACTACACTCCTGTACACACGATTCCGCACCCGCGGAGCGGAACATGTCAAATCACCATGCCTTAATCAGAGAGTGTCTCCAAACAAACACCCATAATACCCCATAATAATATATTATAATTAATACTCAGTACTTATCCACGATTGAACGGGGTGCCTGCTGACATTTCTGCTGCAGAGTTGAGAACACCATCCACGTCCAGGAACACCACTCGGGACAAAGGCTTCTTTGGCCACCGAGATGAGCGTGCATTGGCCAACATCCATTTGATCAGTGCATATCAGTGCAACTTCTCGGGTTACCCCAGGCCGCAATCCCCATGCATTCAATTGAGCCAAATCTAAGACCAAAGGCGCCATCATATCAGACTGTGCATGATGCCACCCATGTCATCCGTCATTAGTCGTCATTGGCTGAGACTAATGACTATAAAGGATTTCAAGCGAGCCCCTACCCTACACACTTTTTCCGTCGCTCCCTTTGGGATTGGCTCCGATATGGTCTTGCTTATGAAGTTTTGCTCTGTGAAGGCTGGGTTGCCAAGGTGTCGATTTGGACTCCATAGGCTCAGGCTGTGGAACTTCGGGGTTGCCAGCACCATCTGCCTTCTCTTTGGCAACTTTAGTTGCCACCAGTGACCTTGGCAAAGAAGGCCTCCAGTCCGCAGCCCGCCCTCGCTCTGTATTTAGGCTTACAAACACATCGGCCTCCACAGAATCCTTGGTGCCATGGATTCCTTCAGCCCCTTCCTGCTCCAGGTCAGTTTCAAACTGTCTTGGGAGGCGAGGTCGCCAAGACTCCTGAGACCCTTGAGCCCCCTGAGCGCCTTGAGGCCCTTGAGAGCTGAACCCTGCATCATCTGCCTTCGCAAATCCATCTGGCTCAGTTTCATCTGCATGCAGAACATCGCATGCTTGAGCTGCAGCTGGACCAACTGTGGGATCCAAATCTTCAGATCCCGAGTGCTGTTCTTCCGCATCTGCAGCATCTGCCTTCTGGCCTTTGCGTTTTCCACGTCTTCGACGTCGCCGCTTCTTCTTAACTTCTGGCTCTGTCCCAGGCTCAGGCGCCAGCAGCTCTCCTGGATGTTCTCCTGGATGCTCTCCTGGATGTCCTTGTAAGCCTCGAGGATCTTGCAGGTCAAGAGCTTCCGCAGATTTGACCTCTGATTGCGCTGCCTGGGCGATGAGCTCCTCCTCCAAATCCATGTGTTGGCGGGTCACCTGTTGCTCCAAAGTTTGGTGCGCGTGAATCATCAAAGGTCTGTCTATGGGAAGAGTTGCAGGCCCTTCGAAAGGAATCGGCAAACTCGTGACGGGCGTGGTGCTCAAGGGTGGCAAACTGGGCACCGAGGGCTGCATGCAGGGCAGCATTGGAGGGCCTTCCATGGAAATCTCTGATCCCAGCATGGTCGGCATACCATACCCATCATACGCATATTGAGACCAAGATGCATCTCCAACTGGTGCCCAGGGGTGTGGAAGATTCTGCATCAGCATGGCATCGGATACGCTGGGAAATACTGGAGGAGCTTCTGGCCACGACCATGGCAATGGGCTGTATGGATTCAGCACAGCCTCAGGCTGGACCGGAAGAGGTGCTGGATAGTCCTGAAAGCTGGTGACTGGCGCTGGGAAGCTTGGCAGTGAAGGCTGAAGCATCAGATTTTCCAATCGCAGCTTGGCACTCACTGGCCCGCCATCTGCATAAACACGAACCACATAGCGCCGGACTTGAGGATCAAAGGCTTCAATCCGACAAAACTTCCCTGTGTGCGGGGCTGCTCCAACGATCAAGGCGGTGCTGCCAACCAAGTCAGACACTGCTTCTGATTCGGTGACGTAGCCCCCAGTATTGTCTACTGGCCCACCGCAACTCCCATAGCCTTCTGGAGCAGAGGAGCAAGATTTTGCTATGATAGGACCTGGATCTGAGAAATTTCGCCTTTCATCATGGCTGTCTGCAGCTGTGACCTCCAAGAACGAGTTCTTGATCCTGCATTCCAGACTTTGGGCATCCAACCTCTCAATGAGTCCTTCATCTGGCAACAAGAACGTAAGCTGAAGATGCAGCGCCGTGTCCAGTTCCTGCTTCACAACCACCTTATGCTTTGATCCATTGGCCTCCAGCAAGGCACTGCCAAGCTGCAGGCTCCTGAAACCACGTTCTGCCTGCTGCTGATTCCATGCACTGGCCAAGCTGTTGTCCTCAAGGGAGTCTAAGATCCATCGCCGGATCCCAGGACGCCACTGAAACCCCCAGGGCTCTGCACGATCCGCTCGCTCGATGTCCACCACCAACGTGCGGCGCCCCCTGGGAGTTACTTCACTGCAGGGATCAGTATCGCCTTCGGTGATGCTGCCACAAAGGTCGGAGGAACTGCCAGCGCGGACTACTGGGCGGCTCGGTCTTGGCTTACTGGGCGCAAGCACAATATCTTTGGACCGTGCCATCTGCAACCAGGCACGGGCCACTTGTGCAGCTGGCATGGCAACACCTGTGTCCGCCAACATCACACTATCCGTCCAAGTCTTTGCTTGCTCTTGCTTTGAATCCACATCGAGGGCATCGATGGGGTCTGGAGCGGCTACTTCTTCTGTTTTGGAGTCGAATCGAACCTCCATCACTGCATCTGCAGGTGGACCTTCACATGGTGGTTTGGCATTTCCAGGTTCTATTTGTGTAATGGTAGCTGCCAGGGCTACCACTAAGAGGACAAGTGCCAAAAAATAATACCCAAATACCAGCACCATCGCAGTTACAAGAATCGCGGTGGCTCTCACCTGCCATGCTTCTACATACATTGCAGCAACGAGGAAGAGGAAACGCCAGCGCCGGCGCAAGATCTTCAGTAGATTGGAATTGACATGAAAAGTGACAGGTGGTTTGCTGGACACCGCTATGCTGTGCAGGTTTGGGAATGCTGAAAGGGTCCTTCTGTTCGGATTCGTAGGTCATGAATCATGAATCACAAATTAAAAAGAGCACTGTATGGCTACGTGCGCTGTGCAATCGTAAAAATAAGCCCCGACATGTGAAACAGCATACCATTCCCAAGTATCAACAAAGGCCTGGCCACCACTCTCTCTTTCTGTTTCTGTTTCTGTCTGTCTCACCTTTCCCCGTGTTTTTTGTCTCTCACCCCCTCTCTCCCTCCATCGGCTTCCACTAACCGCATTCATTTCTCACGGTCACAGAGTCGATGTGCGTCTGAACGCACATCACATGCGGAAGAAAGAAAAGCAATGCGCGTGTCCATTGCCAACATATTTTGCACAAAAATGGGGTTTGAACGTTGCCTGGGGAACGGAAGACAAGGATCACCAAGACGAATCAGCATTTTTTCTAGCAAGATCTGCTTCCAGCTGCTGCTCTTGTTTGAAACTGTTTGGACTCCTCTAGGCCCCAGGTATTTATAACGTCCATCTGTGCAAACGATGCTCAAGTCGCAAACACTTCGACTTGGACGCTTTGGACTTGCCAGGAGTCTCCGAGGCTCCTCAAGATTGTGACATTCGGAGGACCGCCAGCTGCATGCCAAGTTTGTGCCATCAAACCGCAAAACAAGTTCTGCTTCCAAACCAATTTCTGAGATTTTCTGAGTGGTACATGACTGTAGATACTGTAGCACTGTGTCCTGAGCTCAACTAAGTCTTATGCTGATGCTCGATGATGAGACGATATGGAGGGACTGAATACCAACACAATATAACACAATTCATCACAATTTGGATCATGCTTGTAAGCCGTATTCCTAATGACCTTCAGCTGGACACGCAAAGCATGGCGCAGCCGTCACCTTTCTGGGCACTTCTCATCCAAGGATGATGGTTGAACCCCCCTCAACTTATCCATTTCTTCCAAGCCCCTGATTGCGATCTTCAAGCGATCATATCCTAATACGATCTCTGGACACACATGGCAGGATGGCATGCCCAAACCGGATCAAATAGCGCAAGGAATGTGTACATCTTTGACTCTTGACTGTACATAGCAAATCCCCGATTCAGCGTTCAATCTGGGAAGCACAAAAAATAGCTATAAAAGGAATGGCGTCAATTATGTCAATTAGAAGAATGGTGCAGCACATATGGTTTCTGCCATAGAAATGCAAGTGGCTGAGAGTGGCAATGTAGAACAATTCAAACCGGAATCGCGGAGACTGTAAGATCTGTAAGAGTCAACTTGGATCCACTTGGAACATCGTCCGGAAACGCGGAAACGCGACTCCTTGCCTGTGTGTTTCATCTCTTGCTGGCTCCACAAGCTCCATGGAAGCGCTCTGTGCTCTTGTGATCTCTTGTGTTCAATTTCGGCTGGTTAATATTTACATAATATTCACATAATAAATATACTAATTTATTATCCACGGAAACATGTTTCAGTTGCTATTTACTTTTGCGGTGTACACGTATCATATAGGAGCTTTTGCAGTGCTGGAGGATGCAAGCAGAGCTTAATTCTGTGACGAGCGTGTTGCAGAACATGGCAAAACATCGCTGCAGTGGTTGGATGCCAGGCCCATTGTTACCATTGTTCGAGTGAATTTGGTGAAGTGAGTTCGATAGTAAAGGAGGCATCTACAAAACTAGTACAAATAATATCATAATTGGGTGCACAATTTGACAACATAAATTATCATAAATTGGTGATGGTGGGCCTTAGTGCACGTAGACCTTCAGACCGATAATGGATCAATTGCTGAATCCAAGGTCACAAGTGTACAGTCAAATTTCAACGTAGGAAAGTACCCCATCAGAAAAGCTTGAAAGGTCCAGTGGTTCAACCCTCTTCAAAGTATTATCGCGATATCGACGTTGCTACCTCGTTCACCATTCCCATCATGTTTCTTGGGGCCTGACCTCGCTCTCCAATGCAGCACTTCCTTTTAATAGCTACACGCTTTACATGCGATGCCTACCTCGTTCGTGGGGTGTTCCTACCTCATTTTGCAACCTAAATATGGTGTTTCAGCAAACCGGGGTACTCCCAGGACTACTATTCACTTCACCAAATAAAAGCCGACACTCATATAGTATGTATATTATATGTGTATATTATAATATATATATATATTATAATGGTCCAAATTGCCTGTGATGTCCTGCCAAACGTTGCCTCTACAGGATTCGCAGTGCGTACCGAAAAAACACAAAATCGACCACAGTTTGGGCGACTCCATAGCCATAGCGGCAGTTTTTGTCTCCATGGCAAGCCGGGCTTGCAGAGCTTGCACTAAGACCTCGGTGAGGCCACCAAGATCCAAACATCCAAGAACCCAAAGCTCTGTTCAATGAATGATTCGAATGATCCTGAATCCAGATGTTTAGTG